AAATAATATTTAAATTTTATATTATATTTTATTTTATTTATTGTTAAGAAAAAAAACTCATCAGTTGGAACGTTAGTGATTGGACAACAACGCTGCTTCATTCCCATCTGTTACAATAATCGTGTTTATGTGCGACCTAAATTTAAACGAATAAAAAAAAAATAATTTTGAAAAAAATAAAATTAAAAAAAAAAATTAAAAAAAATTAAATTAAATTAAAAAAAAATAAAAAAAAAATAAAAAAAATAAAAAAAATAAAAAAAAAAGTAGTAGAGATTATTATTTTTTTTATTTATTTAAATTAAATAAATAGGCCTTGTTATATATTCACTATTATATTTAGTTTTTTTCCATTTTATAATTTAAAATTTAATATTTAAAATAACTTGAACCAAAATTAAAAAATAATTATTTTTATTAGTAGCATGCTATTTATTTATTTATAGATAAATAGGTATATCAAAAAAAATATAATAAAATAATAAAATTAAAATATTTTAAATTTAATTTTATTTCTTTATTTTTTATTTTTTTTTTTCAAAACACACCAAAATTTCACAAAAACATTATTTAAATTTAATAATTTTTTATTAAATAACATATAAAAAAACAAATATTATTACCATACATGTATTTTTAAAAACACACACACACACACACACACACACATTCACACACGCACACACAATAAATTTTATATAGTTTATAAATAATAACAACAAAATAATATTATTAGGAGTAAATTTATATTAAATAAAAAAATATTTCTAAATAATTTTTTTATTTTTTAAATTAAATTAAATTGTATTTTTTTTTCCTTTGTGCTTTATTATTAAAACTATACATATATATACTAAAAATAAAAAGAAAAAATGTGGACGACAAGAGCGGCAAAATTTCTCTTCAAGAAAATATGTGGGGAATATTTTATGTATGAGCTGGAGAAGGACCAGTTTAAAATAGCATTTAAAAAAGGAACAATAAATTTAAATAATTTGGAATTGAACATAAGGAAAATAAATAAAGATCTTCAAGAGTTTTCGCCGTTAATGCTCGCGTCAGGTTACATTGGCAATCTTACAACGATGATACCCTACTATTCAATATTAGACACTCCAAGCGAATTTAATATATCAAATTTAGAATTGACATTCGTTTCAAGAATTGGTAATTATATTCAATATAATAATACATAGCAATCTTGTTTATTATACTAATTATTTATTTTTAAAGACTATACAAATTTTGTATTAGAAAAATTAAAGCAATTAAGATATTTGGACCATTTAAATAATAATAATAGTAATAATAATAATAAAAGTAATGAAAATAGTGATAATAATGAACCAATAAGTGATATTTATTCTGACGAAGATGAAGAAATTGATAAAATAGAGACTAAAACACAGTTCGGTATGGAGGGGTTAGAGGCCTTAACCGAAATATTAAAGAAATTAATAGATAAAGTATCAGCGAAAATCGAAAAATGTACCATAACAATAGTTCAATATGACACCAAAAGAAATAAAACCATAACGATAATACTGTCAATCGATTCTATAGAATATAAAGCACAACAAAATGATATAGTGCCTCCACCTCCTTCATCAACACCGCAGCAGCAACAACAAGAAAGATTAGATTATTTTTTAAAATCAATTGTAGTAAATAATATCTCAGTTTTAATCAATGACCAATTCACTGGTAATATCATGTCAGAAGAGAAATTTTATAATACTTCAATATTTAATATAATACCTAAATCTAATTTTAATATTATATTTTCAAATAAATCACCGCAGTCATCACCAAACACCAATAATAATAATAATAATAATAATATTAATGACAACGATATAATCTCATTAAAAATAAAAAAAAGCGAAAAAAGTGTAAATGAAATACCATTGTTTTTAATTGATTGCTTTTTCAAGAACTGGACATTAGCATTATCACCACAACATTTAACAATTATTGAAGGTTTTATATCTACATTAACAAAATCAAAGAGTAAAAATAGTAATCTTGAAAAGAATGAAGAAATCGATGGAGAAAAGAAAGAACTGCCAACCGAAGTTATTAATGCAAATAGTAATTTATTTATATTAAGATTAAAATGGCAATCATTCAAATTGTTTTTGCATAACGATATCAATAGTCATAATTTCAATGATTTCATTTTACATCAATACCCTCAAAGAAATTATATGGCAGTAAAATTATCAGATTTTAACATAATTATTAAACAAAATCGTGCAATGGTAAAAAGAATAGATTTATCAATACTAAAGTTACAAGTATCAAACAATACTTTCATATCAGATTTAAATAAAAGTAGTGGTGGAATAAACAATGAAAATATAAATCTGGAGGTAATAAAATCATCATCAATAACTTCACCAATATTGCAACAATCAAATAATAATAACAACAGCAACAGTAATAATAGTAGCAATAATACCAGTAACATTAAAAAACAAACTAGTAATAGAGCTTTGCAAACCTCAGTATATGATTTCATTTGTAATACAGTCATAGATAAATCAACAATGATTTTAGATATTTATATTAAAGACGAGTTGAATTTAATATTAGATCCATTTTTAATAATATTTTTAAAATCATTCTTTAAAGAAAAGGAAAAGATAGTAAAGAAAATTAAGGAAGAAGAACAAACTCACCAAAAGTACTTGTCTCTCTTAGAAAAGCAGAGTATTAGAAAGAATCTATTGAAAAAACAACAGCAGCTATTAGAAGAGCAACTCCAAAAACAAAAACAACGACAACAACAGTTACTTCAACAGCAGCAACAACAAACATATGGTTTTTATTATCCAGAGTTTAATAATAATAATAATAATAATAGTAATGACACAAATAATACAGATAATGGAACATTTTATGAATATGAAGAAAGTGAAAGTGAAAGTGAAAGTGATGAGGATGATGATTTAGAAATTATACCAAGTGAAAGTGATATTAAAAGAGAACAATTAAAAAAGCAACAAAAACAACAGCACCATCAAAAACAAATTGAAGAAAAAGAATTGCAAAGACAGAAGGAAAACATTGAAAAACAACAACAATTGGAAAAACTAATGAATGAAGAGGTCGAGGAATCATCATCAATTCAAATTTCATTAAGCTGCTCAACTATTAGATTTAGAATAAAGTTTCCAACATTCGATGAAAATTATTTTAAAGATTGCTCTCAATTAAATAATAATAATCTAAAGTTAATGATATTAGAATTGCAAAAGAATTTAAAACTATTATCCAGCCAAATCGATATCAATTTTAATCAATGTAAAATAACCTCCAATATTATAAATGATATACCTGATGTAAAATGGTTTATAGATTTCGATAGCTCTTCATTAAACCTTTACAAATATAGTAATAATATAAACCAAAGTCCAAATCAAAATATAATAATAATAAATACAAAAAATGATTCAGATTTATCAAACCCTGTACCAATCGAAATAACAATTAGAGGAATAGAGGAGATTAGTCCATTAAAATTAGAACCAGATGTTGATAACCAAGATTCAGATTCAAATATGGGTAGTGCTCCACAATTTAACTATGTGGGTCAAGATATTGATTCAACTGACTATGACGAAGATGATTATGATGATATAACCCAGAAAAAAGAACAGCCACCAGGTTCATCAAGTCCAAACTTCTCTCATTTTAATCCATTCTCAAAATCTGAAAAACATAAAGGTCCATTTTCAAAATTTGTTTCAACATCTGAAGGAACTTTTGATAGTTGGTTAGATGAAGCGGAGCAAGAGGAAATTAACTTATTCAGGCACACATCCATAGAATCATCGAAATATGTTGTTAATTTAATAATACCATTTTTAAAACTAAAGTTAACAAAATCGCAGTATCTAAATATTATTCAACTCTCTGAATCATACAGCACACTATTTAAATATTTAGAAACATCCACCAATGGCAGTGCATCTATTAATTCAACTCCCATAAACAATAACTCGAATAGTTCAACCCCAATGTACACACCAAACTCATCATTACCTGGCACACCAAATCAACCAAAGATAGGCCAAAACCACTTGTATAATATTAACTCAGATATACCTCATTTACTACCTAGATCACCAAAAACCAAAGGATATAGTAATAATAGCAGTATTTATAATAACTCAATAAACCATAGCCCAACTCTTGATTTAGAAGGTGATACATACAGTTTATTCTCACTTATGGTTGTTATTAATTCAGGTTCATTTATCATTCAAGAAGATCTACCAAAGAATCCATTTTCAACAGTTAAAAACAATAGTAGTGGAAATTTAAATAAAAGTACAAGTACGACTGCACTATCTATTCCTCCTCAATATCAATATGAATTAGCTTTTGAAAAATTCGAAATATTTTATGTTTCACAGTATTATGGAAAGGATATCAGTTTTGTAAGCTCAATAGTTAATTCATTTGAGTTTACAGAGTTAAATTTATCTCAGAAGGACTCCAAACCAATTCAAATATTTTCAAAAACAATGGCTCAAAGAAATTTAACGGAGCAAATATTATCAATAACAATTTCTATCAACAATGATACTACAGGTTTCTTAGACTCAAATATTCAAGGCAACATATATTCAATTATATTTAAAGGTGTTACAATTCACCACAGGTTAAATACAATATGGTTTTCAAGAGTATCTGATTTCTTTTCACCAAAACCAAATAATAATGACAAATCTAATAATAGAGATGAAAAAGAGGAAGGTATTGATGAATTACCAACCTTTCAACAAGATGATGATATAGAAACAAGTGCTCCAGAACCAAATGATAATTCCACCAATGTCTCTGGTCAAGAAAAATCTCCATCATCTAGATTTTTTATCAACTTTGTTGATACCTCTATATCATATACTCCATCAGAAAAACTTTCATCAGCAGCAGTTTTATTTTTCTCGGATGTAAAATTAAAAATTCCAGAATCTGGTGTATTCTCAGTGGTTAGTCAAAACAGTTATATATATGTATTGGATAATGTTCAATTCTTAAATCAAAACTATAAATCAAATGCTCGCTCATCAATTTTAAACCATTGGAAACTATTGGGTTTTGTTCCGGTTGTTCATCTAGATTATATAGAGTTTGATATTATAAATAAGCCAAATCAATACCCTTCATTAATTGTAAGTAAAAAAAATTTTTAATTTTTTTTTTTTTTTTTTAAATACTAATTTTTTTTTTTTATACATAGTTTGATTATAATCATAATTTATTGTCGATCAATGCATGCTCCGATTCATTTTTTACTATAAATCAGCTTATTAATAACTTTTTGGGTTTGGATTTACCAATTGCCGAAGTTGCAGATTTAATTATTACTCAAGGTATTGGCCCAGATTTAAAAGAAAATATTGATATTTTAATTAATGAAGATACTTTTAAACAACCAATCGAAAAACAGCAACAACAGCAACAGCAAAACCAGCAACAGCAACCACCACAGCAAACAAATCCATTAAATATTTCACAAAATAGCTCTTATTCACCAGCAGTTTTATCCTCAAGTCCATCCCCAACAGTACCAGGTGCCATTAATTTCGAATTTGAAGAGATTAGCGATGATAGATTAAGTGGACAAAATGACTTTAGTGATGATGATGGATCTTCTTCAGTTTACGAATACTATTCACCTTTGGATATGATGTCCTCAAATAGTAAATTCTCTGAAACTGAATCAAATAGTTCTGAAACCATAAACGATATACCAGATACATTATCACAAGCATCATTTAGCAACTTACCGATAATGGGAAGTATCATGATTGAAGATTATGACCACGATAAAATAGATACATACCCACCAAGCTCAACTACCCAAATGTATCCACATAGAGATTTTTATAATGACACAGATCCTCCTTCAAATGAATCAACGCAAATTCACCCACAACCACAGTCTCAGCAGCAACATTCAAATGATGGTACAGTTACTTGGATGGATCAAAGTTCTAAAACTATTGAGCCAGTAGAAAACTATATTACAAATCCAGATGAAGATCCTTCAGAAGATTGTTCTCTTCCACATCAATATCCTAAATCAAGCTCAAGAGTTACATTTAGAAAAATGAATATATCGATTAAAATCTTTAAAGGTTCAGATTGGGAAAGAGATAACGAATCTCCTTCATTAATACCATCACCTCCTACTAATAATTCAACCAGCAACAAGTCAGATGACACTAAATCAGGAAGAGATCAAAATTTTTATGTAGAATTTTTATTTTCAAATTGTAGTATTAGAATTGATAAATTTGATGAAAACGAACTATATGCAAAAAGAATGTCGATTCACATAGCCGATGTAACAATCATGGATCATATTCCAACATCAGTTTGGAATAAGTTCCTGTGCTCAGACACCAATGTAACTAGATACAGTCAATCTCCAATGATTAAAATACTATTAGAAACAGTTAGACCTGATCTATCAAGACCATTACTTCAAGAGAATAGATTAAAGGTATTAATATTACCAATTCGTTTTAATGTTGATCAAGATACCGTGTCGTTTATTGTTCAATTTCTTTCTTATAAACCACGTACTTCAAGTAATATTGAATCACCCAAAATTACATCACTAGGATCATCTGGAAGTAATATTTCACCAACATCTTTAAGTGGGGCAGGTACGACATCACCATTATCATCAAGTCAAACTTTATCGAATGGTAGCAATACATTAATATCGTCAGGTAGTAGTTGCACAACATCAACAAATAGCTCGTTGAATTCATCGAATAATACCCAAACATCAAACACATCTACTCCAGTAGCAGCTCATAAAAAAACAACATCTAATACACAAACTATTAGTAGATCAATCCCTGAAGAAAAAGCACATACTACAGATAAAGAATCTCAAGAAATTACATATTTTCAATCAGTTGAAATTTTACCAATTAGATTGAAGGTAGACTATAAACCCAAAAAAGTTGATTATCACAGTTTAACAAGTGGAAACTATGCGGAACTATTAAACCTTTTACCTTTAGAGGGTGCCATATTTAATTTATCAAGACTAAAACTAAATGGTGTTGGTGGATGGAGTGCATTGTTTAATCAAATTGGAAAGATTTGGGTTCCTTATATTATCCAAACTCAATTACTGGGCTACGTTTCAGGTGTAAGAGGTTTAAATTCGTTGGTTCATATTGGAGAAGGTTTAGCAAATCTTATTATATTGCCATATGAACAATATAAAAAAGATGGAAATATTTTAAAAGGTATAAAAAGAGGTACAACAACATTCTTAAAGAATCTAACTGTCGAAACACTTTCAATGGGTGCAAAAGTTGCTGTTGGAACTCAAGGTTTATTAGAAACAGCTGATAATGTATTATCATCACCAAAACAATCACATAATACAAGTATCACATCTTCAACATCAATAACCACTACGACCTCAACCTCTATCAACACAGGATTTACATCCTCGGGGGGTAATCATCATAACCATGGCCATCATAAAATTAAATCATCTCACCACCATCAACAACTTTCACCCGCATCAATTCAATCACTTAATAACCATATTCAGCAACATAGCCACCATCATGGCTATGCAAGTAAATTCTCTGATCAACCAAACGATACAAGAGAGGGTATACAACATGCATATGAAAGTGTTTCTAGAGAGTTAAAATCTGCTGCTCATACAATTATAGCAATACCAATGAAAGAATATCACAAAAAGGGCACAAAAGGTTATGTTAAATCAATAGTCCAAGCTGTACCAATTGCAATTATTAGACCGATGATTGGAATAACAGAAGGTGTTTCAAAAACTTTATTAGGTGTTAGAAATCAAATAGATCCTCTTAAAAAAATGGAGATGGATAATAAATATAAACAAAAATCAATAAAAAAATAATGTTATCTATTTATTTTGATATTTTTACAGAGATTTTAAAAATAAACAATTTCTTTTAATATTAAAAATATTTTTTAATGATACAAAAACATAAACATTTCATATAAATTTTATTTTATTTAATTATTTGATCTTAGTACCTATGATTAAGTCATCAGTATTTTTATTGTGTTTTGTTTTGTTATGGGTTTTATACTTATATGAGTTTTACCACTCCATATTATTATGTAAGAGAAAGTATTTTATTAAATAAAATTTTTGAAATGGTATGTGTAGTATTAGAGATAAGTTTGTTTTTTTTTTTTTTTTTTTTTTTTTTTTTAAAAGCTTTTAATTATCTTCACTTCAAATGCTTTAAATTAATCAGTAAGTGTTTGAGAAGTTGCTAAGAGTGGCCCTGCATAGATTTTTTTTTTTTTTTTTTAAAAGTGAAGATAATTAAAAGCAAATGCTCTAAATTAATCAGTAAAAGCTGCATAGAACACGGTAACATGTGTGCGCCCACCAAAAATAATGACAAAATATTTAAAAACGATATAAATAATCACAAGGAAGATATGCAGTTATGTAAAAAAGATTCGCCCAAAGGGGGGCTCGAACCCCCGACCACAAGGTTAAAAGCCTTGCGCTCTACCGACTGAGCTATCTGGGCTAATTGTTGGAAAATTTATTTTTTACTATCTCGGGACCCAAAGCCGTTAAAATATATATTTTACCTATATAGAATCACAAAATTTCAACTGAGTATCTTCAAGAAATGTTATTGAATAATTGTCAAATTGATTAAATAAAAAATATAAAAATAAGTTATTTCTACTTTTAATATTTCCTCTGTAAAAAATTGTAATTTTTAATATTTTAAATAATGATTTTTATAATTTAAAAAAAAAAACTTACTTTACTAAATCGATTTGGGTTAATATTTGGTCGTATGATTTTGGGTTTTTATTCTCTGGCCAGTGAATAAATAATGAAATTAGGCTTTATGCTTATGGATCCAATTTGTGTGTCTATTGATAAATGTTAACCCCAAAAGTCTTCTATAAAATTTAGAAGAAGTGCAATTTTTAATAATATATTATTATAAATATAGAGTAATAGTCTAATTATGTCTTCTATTAAGACACATATATGGCACCTCTTGAGGAAACAGGACACAAATTGACGGATAATAAATAACTTCACTGAACCACAAGATCTTAAAGATTCCATGCCAATGATAGAGGAATCTATTATATGATTCACAACTTGAGGTACTTAAATAATTCCCTTTTTCCATGAATATCTACTAATATATTTTGGTTTTAAATATACCCATATGGGAATAACCATATACTAGATCTTATAAAATAACTCTCTAATTCTTGGTGGTTCTAAACCTGCTGCTATTGTTTTCATTAATATTTTAAAATCAAAATTTTTTATATTACATATTTTATATTTTAATTAAATTTTACTAAATATACACTTTAATTCTTTTATTTTTTTTTTATTAAAATTTGTTTTATTTATATATTTATATTTTTAAACATAAAAAAAATAACCTCTTTGAAAAAAATAAAAAAATAAAAAATTATAGAAATATATATAAAAAAAAAAAAAATAAAATTAAAATTAAAATTAAAAGTAAATATTAAAATAAATTTTAAAATTGGTGGAAATGTGGTCATTGATAGAAATTTTATCAATAATATAAATTCATAGGGGTTATACTTATAATTTAAATAAGTACTTTATGTGGTAATATATAAATGGTTTAAAATATTTCAATATAAAAATAAAAAATTTATACATAAATAAAATAAAAGTTCAAACCTTTTCATTAATTATTTAATAAAAAATTAAAATATTTAAATAAATTAAATAAAAAATAAAATTTTCGTTTCATTTTCTTTTTGTTTTTAATATTATATATAATAATTTATAAATTATAATATTATAATTATTATTTTATTGATTTCAGTGAAGTTCATTTCATAATATTATTTTTTTTTTTAATAATAATGATAGCCCAATTTAATTTTTTAATTTTTATAATTTTTTATTTTTTTTTTTTAATTTTTGGAAAGCCCACTTTTATTTTTTAATTTTTATAATTTTTTCTTTTTTTTTTTTCCTTTTTTAAAATTTTTTTTTTTTTTTCAATCCAAATAATTTCATTTTAATATATCATAATCATCATTAATATATTTTTAATAAAATAAATTATTTTAAAAACCCAAAATTAATAATATAAAAAAATAAAAATGGATTATACATTTATTACTTTTTTACAAATTTTCTCCATCTTTTGTTTAATAGCATTATTAGTAGAATGCAAAAAAATAAAAAACCAACTTCAACAACAATTACAACAACAAGTACAACAACAATTACAACAAAAATTACAACAACAATTAAAACAAAAACAACCAGTACAACAACAAAATATAAATAATATCGAAGCTAGTTCCACCAATATCGTTTCATTAGAAAATCCAGAATCTTCCTCTTCCCCTTTTTCTTCATCTTCATCTTCATCACCATCCCCATCATCATCACCAGAATTAAAAACCAATTATTCATCAGAACAAGATGAAATAAAATCTGTTCCAGAAGAGAGTGACAAATCTTTAACTCTTATTGGAGAAGAGTTTAAAGAATCCGAATATACATACGGACAATCTCACACTCACATTCACTATCACCTTCACGTTCATCTTCATGGTCACATTCACATTCACGTTCAAGAAAATGATTTCTCCGAAGAACAATATAGTAGTTTCTCAAATGATTCCACAGAACCTGAAGATAAAAATTTCTCAGACATTGAAGGATCTAGAGATTTTTCAAGTTACAAAGATAACAGCTATTCCTCAGACAATGAACAAGAAAGTAGTAGTTTCTCGGATATTGAAGGATATAGCGATTCTTCAGCCAATATTGGAAATATTGGAAATATTGGAAATTTTTCAATGAAAAAAAGAAGTGAAGGTTCAACCGATTTAGATGATTTTGAATTTGAAACTACACAACTATTCAATGAAAATGGTGAATGTAAAGCTGTCATGGCCAACGGCTTACAAGATCCATGTTGCAAAGAATTTATCAGCGAAGATGAAAATAGTCCTAGTGTATTATCAGAAGAAAAAGCAGAAAATTCCGAAGATATTTTAAAATTAGTTGATGTTGTTGAAGTACCAAAAAGTAGCTTTATAGAAGATTTAGAAACCCTTATTGAAGATTTCGTTAAATTGAATCTTGGCTAGAAATTATTAAAATAAAATTCATAATAAAAATAAAAATAAATTCAGAGTTCTTTTTATAACTTAGAGTTATTAAATTATTATCTGTATTTTTTCTACATATAGAAGTTAAATTCATAAAAATGTGTAAATAAATAAAATTAAAACTTTATTATTTTTTTTAAATAAATAAAGGTATTAGTACCTTTTTATTAACTTTAAAAATTTATTATAAAATCTTTAAATTTTTTTTTCTTTAATTTTTTAATTTTTAATAAATTTAAAAAAAATATTTTAAATAATTTAAAAATTATAAATATGTGTTTTTTTAAATTTATTTAACTTTTATAGTTTATAATTCCCTTTTTCCATGAATATCTACTAATATATTTTTGGTTTTAAATATACCCATATGTTAATAACCATTGACTAGATCTTATAAAATAACTCTCTAATTCTTGATGGTTCGGAACCTGCTGCTTTTATATCACATTTGCTTAATGAGTTCCTCAATTTCTCTGTTGTTTTAAGAGTTTTTTTTGTAGTATCCAATATTTGTGAATTTTTATTATACAACATCTTGAAGTAAATCTCTAGTTCTATCTGTCTACACTTAGGTTGATCAAACTTTGCAATTTTATATTTCTTATTATTGAGGAATAGCTCGTGATTGGATTGGTATTTATAATTGTTTGTACATAATATAAAATCTCTTTTAATAAGTTCGATGTGTATTTGATAAACATTGGCTAAATCTATATATTATTGATTAAAATCCTTTAATTCATGATATCGATGACCACAGATATTGTTAGGGTATTGAATGGTTTTAATTGGTAAATCTGTCTTTTGAAAATTAATAAAAGCTAATTTAATTCTGTTAGTAATTCTGTTTCTATTTTCTATATTTCTCCAACGATGCTATTTTCTATATGTATATGGGTTTGTTGTTTCTGTTGTTGTTTTAAAATAATGTATTATTTTACTTACTTGTTCTATAAAGGTTATTGAAAGGTTTTAAACATATTTTCGGTACTGTTAAAATTATTATTACTATTTTTTGGATGTGCTATAGTTTACATTATTAAAACTATTTATGTGTTTGTTTGTTTGTAGTGAATTGAAAAAATAAAATAAAATAAAAAAAATTGAAAAAAATTTAAAAAAAAAATATTAAAAAATCATCGATTTTATAAAAAAATACTATTTTAAAAATTTAAAATGTCCATTTTTGTAAAAAAATAAATTTATATATTTTTCTTTTTATCTATAAGTCTATTTTTTATTTATTTATTTATTTATTTAAAATTTATAAAAAAAAATAAATTAAAAATTTAATTTATTTTATTTTATTTTATTTTATTTTATTTTATTTTATTTTATTTTATTTTATTTTATTTATTTAAAAATTTTGTGATGTTTCAATATCATAATATCGAAATATTTGCCTTCAATACTTAAAAATGAAAAATAATTATTTAATTCATCTTATATTATTCGATGTTCTACCATATTTACTTGGCCAGAGAAAATTTGATAGATATAATGTTAATAAAATATGATTGAATAATTTCATTAGAGTTTGCTTGGCTAATTCATTTTAAAGTTGGTTCTAATAAAGCTGAATCCTTTTATTATAATAGTATTGAAGCTATTTATTATTATTATTATTATTTTTTTTTTTTTTTTTTTTTTTTTTTTTTTTTTTTTAAAATTATAATTTTAATTATTATTGATTAATTAAAAGTTATGTTTCAAGGTCTAATGTTTATATACACTTTCTAAGATAACATTGATATTCTGCCGTAGATACCCTTGATACATCTTTTTGTTTTATATTATTGGTATTTTTTTTTCAATTACTTCATTAAAGAGATTTTTGATCAACTATGAGTTCTAATGGTGATACTTGGAATGAAAGTTGAAGTGTTGATTATTGAACCAATATTTTCTCTATAACTTTATAAATATTAGTTATAAGTTAATTTACTAATTTTTTTAATTTAATATTTACCTTTAAAAAAAATGTATAATGGGAAATCTTTTTAAAAGAGTTAATGATACTCCAAGTGAATGGAAAGAAGCATCTGGAATTTACAGTTTTTAATATACAAAAGACGCATGGATATTCATTTCTTGGAGCCTACTAAAAATGAGGGTATCTAGTTGTTGAGTATGATAATGCTGTGGACCAAGACGAATGCTGATGATGAATGCTGCTGATGAATGCTGCTGATAATGATGAGGACCAATACGAGTGCTGATGCTGATGAGGACCAAGATGAATGCGGATGCTGATGAGGACCAAGATGAATGCCGGTGAGGATGCTGATGATGAGGACCAATACGAGTGCTGATGATGATGAGGACCAAGATGAAAGCTGACGATGAATACTGCTGATAAATTTTGCTGATGAATGATGCTAATGATGATAATGCTGAGGACCAAAAAGAATGCCGGTGAGGATGCTCATCATATGATGATACTAAGTAAAATTTTTTTAAGTCCCAATATGTGGGATAGAGGTCTAGTTGTTCTAAGGTAGGTATATAATTTTTTCTAAAAAATTATTATTATTATTATTATGGTTATAACTACTGCTATTACTATTGATATTACTTTTATTATAAATTTTGCTATTGCTATAGTTAATGCAATGGATATTGCTATTACCATTGCTATTATTAAAACTATTACTATTACTATTGCTATTGGTGTTATTATTTCTAATGATAATGCAATACTAATTGCTATAACTATTATTATTACTATTGCAATTCCTTTTGTTATTGTTTTAGCTATTGAAATTGCTACTGATTTTATTAAATTATTATTTTTATTATTATTATTATTATTGTTGTTATTATTATTATTTTTTTTAAAAATTGCTTTGCCAATAGAGCAAAACATTGATGAGAATAAATAATATGCTAAGGCAAAAATAAAAGTGAAAATAATAATTGATGGAATATCCATTTTTATTTTTTATTTGATTATGAAAAAAAAAAATATTTTAATATATATAATATTTTTTTATTGAATTTTATTAGATTATTATTATTATTATTATTGAAAAATATTGAATAATAAGCTGATATGAAAAACTATTTGTTGAAGAAATAATTTAAAGACAAACGAAAAAAAAAAAAAAAAAAAAAAACTTTTTAAAAAAAAATTAAATTTTAAAATTTGGATTGAAAATTAAAATTAAAATTATTAAAGAAAATAAAAATAAAAAAATTATAATTAAAATTAAAATTGAATTATATAATAAATATTATAAAAGTAAAAATAAAAATAAAAAAAGAATCTATTGATTGTATATTTGTGAAAATATGCTGTTTTTTTTTAAGAACTTGATTTAAATATTTATTATATTTATTATTTATTTTTGTTATTTAATTTCTGTGATGTTCTGATGAAATTTAGGAACTTAAAAAAACAGTGGAATGATGCATAACTGCCACAGATGCCAACTGGGTTCAATTGCATGCACAAATAATAATTTCCCAATCTAAAAATTCTTTTATTGGATCTTCAAAAAAAAAACCTTCAATTGAAATATTTGAAGAATTTTAAACTCCTGAATCTGTGTACCCATTAATTAATATAAAGAAATGAGCAGCCATAATTATACCAATATAAAGAGACCCTTGATGTATTTGTTTTAAATTGAATTGAAGTGTTTAAAGCATAGAGATCAAAGAATGGGAATTCACCACCAACATATTGGGTAATTCACATGCATGGCAACTGAGCTTGAATAGTTTCTCCACCTATACATATAGGGGGGAATATAACGTAGTACATCCTCATCACCAATACACGAGTTATAAGTTAGATATAGTACAAGACTTTGTTTACCTGAATTGCCACCTTTTAACCAGAATGAAAGGAATTTGAGTCTTCTAATAGGGAATGTTGAGCCCTGTATTATTGTAAACTGGTGAAGTATTTAATGATGAAATGTCAAAAATTACAAAAACCCATACACATTCGAGTGTTGATAGTTGTTTATGATTGCTTTCTTTTCTGATATTTCATAATACATTTGTTGAAAATACCTTATTATCTTATAGTAATTATATAGTAATTATATATTATTTTATTTTTTTTTTTATTTTTTTAATTTTTTTTTTTCTAAAAATAATATTGCACCACCATAAACATTATTTTATTATAAACAAAATAAAAATAATAATAAAATAAACAATATGTATAAAAAATAATCCAATCAATATATAAAAATAAAAATAAAATAAAAATTTTTAAAAATTTTGCCAATGCATTTTATTAACACTCGCATCTCCCCCCAAAATTAAAATAACAATAAATAAAAAAAGCAATCATAATAATGTTTGTGCTATTTTTAGAAAAAAAAAATTAAAAAAAATAAAAAAAATTAAAAAAAAAATAAAAAAAAATTAATTTTGAATTTTTTTATTTTTTTTTTATTTAAAATATCATTATTTATAGAATGCACTATTATAATAAAAGAAACATATAATAATAGTAATGATAAATGTTTTTTTTTCCAAATAGAGAAACAAATATATATATTAAGCGAAATTCAAAAACACATCAGTTAAGGTAAATAATTACACATGCTATTTCTAAAATTGTTAAATATATAATGATATACTAATTAAAAATAATATACAATTACTAAATTACCACACGTAGACGTATCATCAATAAATAGTTACAATAAAATAAGTGATTATTCAATGGAATCACAAATTTGGTAACATGGTACTGTTATTCGTTTTATATTCTATAATCAAACCATAAAAATAATATAAAGTTGGATGTAGAATTAAATCATGTTCGATACTGTGGAAAAATTGGATTCTATTCAATCAAGTATGTTATATAAATACAAATATATAAAGTGATTCGATTATTAATTTAAATTTTAATTATGAAACAGGTTTAAAGAATATAGGATTCTATGATAATGATTAAAAAGTATCAAATTATAGAGATTAATTATAATACAGACAGATTAATATATTAATAAAATCTAGAGATATTCAGCTTTTTTTAGAGACTAATAGATGTAAATTTAATTAGTTTACTATACGAAAAGAAAAAAAAGAACAGCTTCACATGTGCATACTCTTTAGATAATATAGAAGCATTGGAGTATTTCCTATCAATGAATGTAGCAACATTTTTACCAAACTACACAAATAATAAAAAAAGTTTTTCAATATCATCAATTAAATCATTAGAATTACTATTAAAATATCGAGTAAATATCATAGAACCATATAATATCAATATCAATAATAACAATAACAATAATAACATAACAGCAGCTTCATCATCATCACCATCATCATTCAGTTTAAACAATAATAATTATTACTATTAATATCAACATTCAGTTTAAAAAATAGTAATAGTAACTATAATTTAAATAGTGTTAGTGAATATAGCAATCTAAATAATAGTACCAGTTTAGCCCGAAGAGAAAGTTGTAATAGTAATAATATCAATGGGAGTAGCGGTAGTAGCGCTTGCAACAATAAAAACAGTAATAGCTTTTTAATTAATAATGTTAATATAACACTTCCACCACCATCATCATATAGAAATTTAATTAAAAAGAAATTAAATCACCAACAAATTATTTACTACTACATTTAAAAACATTAAATATCGGTAATATTCAAGAGGCATTAGATAATTCAAACATAGCAGACCACTCAAAGATTACCTATGAATTAATAAAGAAATGTCTCAAGTATTCTAATTTTGAAGATTTAGAAAAACTTATAAAGAGCAATCAGCATATATTCTACAGGTATTCCATTCGATAGATTCTCTCAATCAGTTTTATGTGGAGGAAAGGATGTATATAGTTTAATAGTTAAAATATTCCTTGAATTGTTCAATCCACTATCATATAGCCAATCCATTAGACATTTAATTGTTTTAGAAATCCTAAAAATTTAAATCGGTTCATTAAAACTAGGGATTATAATTATTCTCAGTCACCAAGAGAATATTATATGCAAACTGAACCGTATACATTTGATGTACAATAAGAGTAAATGCAGAAGAGATGGAGGAGCTGATATTTAAATATCAGAAATTAAATTACATGGATACCAATTCAGAGTACACATTTCATCATTACCATCAAATACTTCACCAGTTTACAATTATATAGGGCTAAAGTGTTTCGAGAAAAAAAAATTAAGAAACCACAAAATTATGATTATTATTAAAAAATACAATTTTAATTACATATATAAAGGAAATTAATATATATATAAAGGAAATTTAATAAAAAATAAAAATTTGAAAAAAATTTGAAAAAAAAAAAAAAATTGAAAATTTTATTCAGTGAGAAACTATTTACATGTAGACCATGGTGTTAGAAAAACCAAGAATCATTTTTATTTAATTGTAAATATTAAATACTATTTTAATATTATAATAAAACTATATAGATACTAATTATGAAATTTAAATTACTATTATCATTTAGAAAAAGAATGTAAATCAACAACAATTAGATAAATTAAATAGTGAATTGATAGAGTTACTAGCTTCAAAAAAGAGAAAAATCAACACAGTTAAAGAGAATAAAAAAGTGAAACAATTAAAGATTGATAACCAACAATTAAATAATGATTATCAACGATTAAATAATGATAATCAACGATTAAATAATGATTATCAACGATTAAATAATGATAATCAACGATTAAATAATGATTATCAACGATTAAATAATGATTATCAACGATTAAATAATGAAAATCAACAATTAAATAATGATTATCAACAATTAAATAAAGAGATAGAACAATTAAAACAAAAAAAATCAATTATTCAATTTAAGAATAAAGAAGAAGAATTAAAAATTCAATATCAACAATTACAGATTCAATCAAACTATCAATATCAAGAACTGAAACAAGAAATTGACCAAGTGACTTGTCAACTCGATCAATGTAGAGAAACAATTGGTAGTTTAGAAACTTGTGTTGATGAAAAGAAAAAGTTATTGGATCAAGTAACAAAAGAAAGAGATCAAGCAGCAAAAGAAAGAGATCAAGTAGCAAAAGTAATCATCTAATGAAGTAGAGACCACTGGAACCTGATGCAATACAAACAAAAAATAAATTTGATAATGATGAGAAAAAAATAGAGAAAGAAAAAGAAAGAATAGATAACGTATTGAAAAAGAAAAATTATCAAAACACCCTCCAACACAATAAAAATTTACATTCTCAAGTTCAATCTAGGGCAGGTTTACCACAATCAGTCAATGATCCATCAAATGTAGACTCTAAATAAAAAATAAATAAAATAAATATACACCTTAAAAATTTAAAGTGTATGTTTATTTTAATTTATTTATTTTTTTAATTTTCATATTTTACCATGTTTTATCATTTTTTTTCATTTTTTTTCATAAAATTGCATAAAAAAAAGTGGTTTGGGTGTATATACATATCCATTTTGAAATAATTTATTTTTTTTATTTAATTTAATTATTAAAACTATTAATAATAATTTAATTGAATAGAATAATGATTGTTAACTAAAAAACCCTGTTTTTCTACAAATAACCTATTTTCGAATCCCTCATTAAAACTTTTAATAAATAATAATTAAAATTATAATTTTAAAATATATATTATTATTATTATTTTAATTATTATTGATTAACTAAAAGTTTTGTTTCTAGTTCTAATGTTGATATACATTTTCATTTAGCTATTATCCTATGATAACACCGATAATCTGCCGAAGATACTGTTTCCAAATGAACCTTTTGAGTCAGAGATCTCTAATTTTCTAAGTTGTTCAGCTTGTAACAGTTGGAAGCTCATCATTGAGATTTCTTAGAACTACAACAAAAATACTGCTATTTCTTTGGCTTTCTAATAACTGTTTCCATTGCTAAATTCTCTTTTGCAATTCTATAACTTCAAATTCATGTTCAACCTCTTTAATTCTATTACCATTGATTTCATCTGAATACTCAATGAGATGATTGGTGAACTTTTGGCATCTGCATTTGAACTACCAACATTAGATTTTGATGAATTTGATGCTACCGCTTTTAATGGATTTCTTTGTAAAAGATTTATTTGTTCTGCTTTATCTTCGAGTTCATCAGTTTGCTTAGAAACCAATGCTGATCCAGTACGAGAACTCTGTGAAACTTCTGATATACCAACTGAGGTATCATGACCAGTGTTGAAAAATCGTTTACTGAATTTATCTTAAAGAATTGTAATCTCTGATTTAATTAGGTGATTTTCGGATTGAAAACCTTCTTGGCTAATTCTAATTGTTCTAAAAGTTCTCTCTTCTCTTCTTTTTTAAATAATTGCTTTTCTAATGAAATGTATTTTTCTTTTAAAACTTGATATTTTTCTTTTAATACTTGATATTTTTCCCTTATGGCGGAGGCACTTGAAGTAGATTGTGAAACAGATGAAGAAGGGGAATCACCAAGATTTCTAACTCCTTAATATTACCTTTGGGAATTTTGATATTGTTTCTGCTTTTGATAAGAGAATTTTAAGCTGCATTTCTTTCTTGATTAATAGCCTTATTATTAATGTTTTGATTTTTCAGGTAGTCTTAGTGCACTACGTTTATATGAGTATTGTCTTGGTGGTGGTATTGCTTCTGGTTGCAATATCGTTTACTCAATTCTTTAATGATTTGTGAGTTAGCAGTTTATAGAGAAGTTGGTTCATAACCCTAATTTTGCGAAAAATGAAGTGATTTAGTTGTGCTTAATACAGAATGACCATTTGTTTGGAGATGAACCGGTGTTGAAAATTTAATTTGGTACCAAAAACTTTCATTTAACCTTTGTATGGATCTATGTGAAAACTGATCTCTAAACTTATTTAAATATCAGCTCCACCGTCTTTATTAATGCATTTACCACTATTAATAGATTATCATTAAGGTTTAATATTAGCTTAAAGGCTTCTAATAACTGAGGACTGATTATTGATTTACTGAGTTAATACTAGTATTGGGTATTTAAATATTGTGCTCTATTATTAAATTTATTTAATTCGATATTTAAATATATATTTGATTAATTTTTTGAATTATTTGATTGATTGCTAAAATCTTGTTTTGATGATGCTTCAGAAACTAATACTGAAAAGATTTCGGGTAGGCTATATTCTAATATTCACTTTTAGATATTAAGACACCATCTACATTATTAAATTGGAGTGGTTACTTGATTTATTATATATCTTGCATATTTTAAATTAATTAAAGATAAATAACGAGCATAAGTTGCAATCTGCAAAGGTTTTAATTTTCATTTCTACAATGAATAAATAACCTCTAAATACTTGAACAGTTCCAATACTTGGTAAGTCTGATTATAGGTTTGCATTTATAGAAATAATGGTGAGAGATGCCAGTAGAAGGATGAAGCATAATACTATATGGGAATAAAGCAATACCAATTAGATGTATTGTCTTCTTTACAATAAGATCTAGGTCCTTGTGGATTAAGATGAATTAAACTTTTCTGTTAAAACATATGTTTAAGTATGGCAAGCGAAGGTTGGAGTTACTTTAAAGAATTTGTTTATAGGAACGACGACTTCATTTATGAACTTTGAACCTCTATCAGATACTAAATTTTTAGGGGTCATATTTTAAATATATTTGATAAGCTAAAATCATTGGACTGTTTCACTATTTGAACAATATTTACGAAAGCTGAAGTTTACCCTTTTCCTTATCTAAACTATTTGTGTTCTATCACTGTTGCTTGGGCCAACGCAAATGTATTGAGATTCATATATACAGTTGATTAGATTGAATATCTTCATTAGTGTTTAGTATTTAGTAGGATCTAAGTTTAATCTTTATTTGATTTACTCGAGATTGAAAGAATTTGAAAGAATTTGAGTTTCACTTTGTGACTTTTTATGATAGTTATTGATATTGGTTTTGAGATTATTATAATATAAAAGCAATAATTCGTTGTTGGATTAATTAGGCTAAATATTTATATAATTGATTAAAATCCTTTCATTCATGATATCGACGACAGCAGATCCTGTAAGGGTATTGAATAATTAATTAATTGGTATATCTGTCTTTTGAAAAGTTATTTTAATTTAAGTTAGTAATTCTGTTTCTATTTCTTCAACGATGCAAATTTCTATATGTAGATGGGTTTGTTGTAGTTGTAGTTGTTGTTGTTGTTGTTGTTGTTGTTGTTGTTGTTGTTGTTGTTGTTGTTGTTTTAAAATAATGTATTAATTTACGTACTTGTTCTAGAAAGGTTTTAAGACATATTTTCAGTAATGTTAAAATTTTTATTATTATTTTTTGGATGTGCTATGGTTTACATTATTAAAACTATTTATGTGTTTGTTTGTTGTGTATTGAAAAAAAAAATTAAAAAAAAAATTAAAAAAAAAATAAATTTTTTTTTTTTTTTTTAAAAATTATTTGATTTTTAGATTTTTTTTAAAAATTTAAAATGGCTATGATAACGTGTTGATATTTACTAAAAATTGGGGGTATACTTTTGAAAGAATGACAGACAACACCTAAAGACAGCTTATAATGAATATGAAATAAGTAAACAATTAAATCAGATATTCTTCCCCCTACTGGGATATATACACAAATATTTAAAGGAGCAACTTTACAGAGTTACAGATCGATATGATTACTATTAAATTATTTAAACTATATGAATATCTTCGGCCTTTGATTTGGCTAATTTAAAACCAATAAAAAAATAATAAAAATAATAAAATAAAATATGAAAATAAAAGTTTTTTAAAAATATGTTATAAATGTTAAATCTTTATTTTTTATTAATTAATATTTAATCTATAATTATAAAACTAACTCTTTATGAAATATAGAAATGAATGATAATAATAATTAAATTGTACTAAATATACTTTTTTATCTGTTATTTGTAAATTTAATTATGGTGAAGTAATATATGACTTGAGAATACTTGGGAAATCTTTTGATGGGTTCAACAATTTGGGCTGAATGAGTATTTGGTGATTATAAAAATAAAATCAATGGCTCGTCTTTTAAGTTATACTTTAATTAAAATTTGTTGTTTGCTTAATCTGTGGTACTTGCACTATAACTAGAATATCTTCTGAAGTATTAAATGAAATGATTGGTGAACTATTATTTGTAATGTTGTTTGCTTATCATCTTGATCTACTTTAACAACAGAAGCAAGTATTCGATAACTTTTCAGTTGAAATATAATTGCATTCTATTGTTTTAGTATTTGAATCAATTGATGATAAATTGTTTTTTGATTAATCGTCTGTTGAATGATCGATTATAATTTGAATCATTCATTTTTAAATTTTTTTATTTTTGAATTTACAAGTTCTGTACTCCAGAAGATGGTTTGGCAAGTGAATTTGGTAGAACTAAAGAGATATATTTATATCTCCAAGCTGGTAATGGTGGTAAATGTGGTGGAGGTACCAATGGTGAGGTGTTGTTATTTTTATAAAATGTTGATGGTGATGTTGAATTATTTGATAATGATGAAGATGGTAGTTTACTAGTTGAGGATTTATTTGAATTGTTTGATTCTAATTTAGCACTACCACTATTACTTCTACCACATCTAAAAAATCTTGCAATACGAGCACCCAACTTTTCAGATTTTTTTGATTTAACTCCTTCGAGCTCATTTTTAATACCTTCATTTAGTATTGTTTGGTTTTGATTATTAATTGGTATTTTAGATTGATGATTAATTGGTATTTTAGATTGACTCTCTTGATTACTTGATATATTATTTTCTAAACCAAAAATATGATGGCCTCCGAGGGAGTGTAATTTTTTTAATCCTTCAATTTCAGAATTGAGTTGAGTATTTTCATTATCTAATTGAATTTTTAATGTGGTCATTTGGTCGAGTTTTGTTTGGATTATTTTTTTCTCTTCATCATTTCCATCTGGTTTATTGGAACTTTTCAAACGGTCTGTAAGTTTAGCATTACGAGCTTGATATTCTTCTAATATAAATTCTAAATCAATAACCTCTTTACATCTATTCTCGAGATCTCTTAAGAGTGATTCTTTGACTGTACTATTATATCTTTGACCTTCTTTTAATTTTTTTATTTCTAAATCTTTTTCTATTTCTAAATTCTCCTTTTCAATTTTATAGCATTTAAATTCATATTCAATCTCTTTGATTTTATCTTTTAGTGCTTGATTTTCGGCTTCTAAAAATTGTTGATTGCATTGAGCTGTATTAGCACTATTACCATTTATTTCTTCTAAAGCAATCAAAGAGATGATTGGCGAGCTATTTTTTGTAGTTTCGGTTGTTGTTGCTGTATTATCATCAAGATTAACTTTATTAACGGGTGAAAGCATATTTTTATATACATCATTTGATTTTACCTCTAGCTCTTGTGATGAGGATAAAATAGATACATTCTAATTGTAAAAAAGGTAAATATTAGTATTTAAATAATTAATTTTTTTATTTCTATAGTTACTACTTACAGATGTTAAGAATGATACTAAAAAGGTTTCAACAGGAATTAATTCTTTTTTTAATACACACTCATGGACAAATTCTTTAACCAAAATTGGGATACCCAAAGAAAGAGCTTGTTCAACTTTTTGGGTCTTCTCTAAATAGCCTTCTTTAGTGGTGATTAAATGAGTGGCCTTTAATAATAATTAGTATTATTTTTAAATTTTAATTTAAATTAAACAAGTTATATAATTACCTTTGTGCATGAGTAGCAGCTTTTGCCTCCATTCTTTTTAATAATTTTAATTAACTGATTTTTTCTTTTGAGGTTAATGGTTTTGTCAAAAACAAAAGCGCAGTTTTCGAAAATTTTTGAGTTTATTTGATTTTCATCTTGATGAGTTTCTGTTGAGCTCGATAGATCTTGATTATTATTATTGGAGTTGTACATTTTTTATTGGATACTATAATAGAAAAGATTTTTGAAAGGAAATATAGGAATGTTTCAATGATAAAGGGTTATAAAAAAATAATCTTTAAAAAAATATTATGTGATTATAATTTTGAAAGCTTATTATTTTTAATGAATTAAAAAAAAATATTATGTGATTATAATTTTGAAAGCTATTATTTTTAATGAATTAAAAAAAAAAAAATATAATTTATAAAAAATAAAAAATATAATTTATAAAAAATAAAAAATTAGAACTGTTTAAAATATTTTTTTTTTTTTTAAATTAAAGAATGTTAAAAGTTGTATTTCATTTTTCTTTATATTTATTTAAAACTGAACACTTTAATTAAATCTAATATTTTAAATAAAAATTTTATTGAATTCTCTAAAGAATGATATATTAAACACCAAAGTAACTTTTTCATTTCCAAAAAGTATTTAATAATATTAATAATAAAAATAAAAAATAAAAAAATAAATTATAATAATTAATAAAAAAAAAACAATATAGAGATCGATAATTAAAAAATATGTTATTGTATGTTAAAATTTTGATTAAAATAATAAAACTATATTAAAAATTTAGGAATATATATATTAACTTTAAGTTTTTATTTTACTTTATTAATTTTTCATAGAATCTATTTCATCAATGAACCCAGCTGACGGTGCCTCATCAAAATTAATGTTAGGCTCATCTAGAAGTGTCTCATTCTCTGATAATGAATCAGTTTGGTTTGGTAATAGCTTTGGTGGCGGTTCATGTGGTTTCAATCCATGTTTTAACCCTTGCAATGGTGGTAACACTAACTTTATCAATATTGATATCAATATTGGTCATTGTCGTAGAAGATGCTGTTAATTTTATTCTAAAACTAAATAACATGTTTAAATAAATTACCCTAAATTGATTTAAATTCAAAAAAATAAGCTTTTTTATTAAAAAATAATCTAGATTATTTATATAGGTTTTTTTAGGGAAATTTAATAAAAAAATAAAAAATTATAATTTTATTTTTTACTTTTCTTTCATTTAATTTTTTTAACCTCTTTCTTTTTTGCTTTGATGTTTATTTATATAAATTTAAATACTTTTAATATTAAATATTTTCTTTTCTTTTCTTTATTTATTTTTAATAAAATGTGTTTATTTAATTTTATATAATCATCTTGTTATAAATTATTTCTTCAGACGATTTATCTTACACAAATTTAACAATGTATAAAAAAAAAAATTTAATTTTCATTTCAATAAAAAACAAACTAAATATTATAAAGATAAACACTATTATAAAATGTCAATTATTAGTAAATATTAATAAAACTATATTTTAAAATTTATAAATATTTATATTAACATTTTTATTTTATTTTTTTTATTTTTTTATTTTTTATATAGAATCTATTTTGTCAATGAACCCAGTTAATGGTGCCTCATCTAAATCAATGTTAAGCTCATCTGGAAGTGTCTCATTCTCTGATAATGAATCTGCATGGTTCGGTAATAGCTTAGGTGGCGGTTCATGTTGTTTTAATCCATGTTTCAATCCATGCAGTGGTGGTAACACTAACATTATCAATATTGATATCAATATTGGTCGTCATCGTAGAAGATGCTGTTAAATTTACTCTAAAAATAAATTATATTTATATATATTACCTAAACTAATTCGGGTAATAATACATACATGTATAATATTATATTTGTGAAAAAAGAAATAAATAAAAAAATAACACTTATAAAAAATTTTTTTTTTAATTTTATTTTCTTTGTATTTTTAAATTGGTTCCATCATCACATTTATCGAAATTGGGTAAATTGATGATGGTCAAACCATTTATTTTTTCCTTTTATTTATTTTTTTATTTAAACCAATAATCTAATTTAATTTTGTATCTAATTTTGATTAGTTGCTATATTATCTATTTATTTATTTATTTATTTTAACCAATAATATGTGGCTTCTTAGGATGTGTAATTTCTTTATTTTTTCAATTTCTGATTTGAGTTTAGTATTTTCATTATTTAATAGGTTTTTAAATGTTGTCATTTCGTCAAACTTTGTTTGAATTGACATTATCTTTTGATCATTTCCACCTAGTTTATTGGAACGCTTTATACGGTCAGTGAGTTTAGTATTACCATCTTGATATTCGTCTTAAACAAATTCTAAATCAATAACCTATTTACATCTATTTTTGAGATCTCCTAAGAGTGATTCTTTGAGGGTACTAAATTTTAAAAGTTGAAGATTTGTTTGTTCTCTTTTCTTCCATTCTTTGTCTTATCTCCTCTTCGATCTTTCAATTTTCAATTTTAATTGAGTATTTTCATTTCTAACTGTTTCCAAATGAACCTTTTGAGTCAAAAATCTCTAATTTTCTAAGTTGTTCAGCCTGTAACATCATTTCAGTTGGAAGCTCGTTATCGAGATTTCTTGGATCTACAACAAAAATACTTCTATTTCTTTGACTTTCAAATAACTGTTTGGTTCTTAATATTTTTTCCATTACCAAATTCTCTTTTGCAACTCTATAACTTTCAAATTTATGTTCAATCTCTTTGATTCTATCACCATTGATTTCTTCTAAAGTATCATGACCAGTGTGGAAGGATTTTTTACTAAATTTATTTTGAAGAATTGTAATCTCTGGTTTAATATTGTAATTTTCGGATTGAAGACATTCTTGAGATAGTTCTAATTGTTCTAAAAGTTCTCTCTTCTCCTCTTCTTTTTGAAATAAATGCTTTTCTAATGAAATGAATTTTACTTTTAATACTTGATCGTTTTGCCTAATGGCACTTGAAGCAGATTGTAAACCAGATGAACGAGGGGAATTACCAAAAGATTTCTTCCTTAATATTACCTTGAATTTTGATTTCGATTTCTTCTTTTGATAAGAGAATTTTAAGCTGCACTTCTTTATTGATTAATTTTAGCCTTATTCTTAATGTTTTGATTTTTCTAAAAACTTCTACCTTTTTTAATAAGCAATAAACTTTCTATTCTCTAAAAGTATTTATTGAGATAAATTATCATTCGAGTGGTATTGCTTCTAGTTGTTGTTGATGTTGTGGTATTATTTGATCACCTACTTTATATTTCTTGGTATGTTCATAAGAAAGAGGCATTAATATTATTTTTATAGTTTGGGAGATGGTGAAAATATTTTTTAATGGCTATGAACTGATGGCTGATGATGAACTACTATCTGATGAGCCTCTTGAAGAGTCCTCTGATGCGTCTGAAGAGTCTTTCCAGTCTGATGAGCTACCTGCTGTTATACCTGTTGATCCACTTGTTGATGTACCACCTGTGGAACCTGTACCACAATTGTGCCACCTTCACCCCAGTAGCACCACCTTCAGTAGCACAACCTGCAGCAGTGATGGTCCTGAAAAATGTGAGGCGTTTTATTAATAATAAGTCGAATTTGATGATATTTGGGTGTGACTGTTATTTCTTAACGAGGACTGCCTCTGGTTTGGCACTAAATTGATTTTAACAATTAATTTTATAAACTGTTTTAAAATTAGCTTTCTTAAAAGCTACTTATGACTGAGGACTGATTATTGATTAACTGAGCTTATACTATTATTTTTTATAGAGATGGCTAATACTGGGGCATTTAAATATTGTGATATTATTAAATTTATTTAATTCGATATTTAAATATATACATGATTGAGTTTTTGAATTATTTGATTGATTGCTAAAATCCTGTTTTGATGATGCTTCAGAACCTAATACTGAAAAGATTTCGGGTAGGTCATATTCTAATATTCACCTTTAGCTATTAAGACACCATCTGCATTATTAAATTGTGGTTGTTAGCTTGATTTATTTATTTTGATTTAATTAAAGATAAACTACGAGCATAATTTGCACAGGTTTAATTTTCATTTCTACAATGAACAAATAACTTCTATATACTTGAACAGTTCTAATACTTGGTAAGTCTGTTAAACCATATGTTTAAGTATGGCATGCGAAAGTTGGAGTTACTTTAAAGAATTTGTTTATTGAAACGACGACTTCATTTATGAAACTTGAACCTCTATCATATACTAAATTCTTTGGGTTTTTATATTTTAAATATATTTGATAAGCTAAAACCATTAGACTGTTTCACTATTTGAACAATATTAACAAAAGCTGAAGTTTACCCTTTTCCTTATCTAAACTATTTGTGTCTATCACTGTTGCTTGGGCCAAAGCAAATGTATTGAGATCCATATATAGTTGATAAGATCGAATATCTTCATTAGTGTTTAGTCTTTATTTTATCTGAATTACTCGAGATTGAAAGAATTTGAGTTTCTGCGACTTTGTGACTTTTTATGATAGATATAAGTTTTGGGATTATTATAATATAGAGTTAATAGTTCGTGGATGGATTTATTAGGCCAAATCTTTATATAATTGATTTAAATCCTTTCATTCATGATATCGGCGACAACTGATCCTGTTGGTGTATTGAATGGTTTTAATTGGTAAATCTGTCTTTTGAATAATGTGAATAAAAGCTATTTTAATTTATGTTAGTAATTCTGTTTCTATTTCTTCAACGATGCCATTTTCTATATGTATGTGTGTGGGTTTGTTGTTGTGTTATTGTTGTTTTAAAATAATGTATTGATTTACTTACTTGTCTCGAAAGGTTTTAAACATATTTTCAGTTATGTTAAAATTATAATTATTTATTGGATGTGCTATAGTTTACATTATTAAAATTATTTATGTGTGTGTTTGTTTGTTTGTTGTGAATTGAAAAAAATAAAAATAAAAAAATAAAAAAATTAAAAAAAAAATAAAAAAAAAAAAAAATAAAAAAATTTTTTAAAAAAATTATCAGTATATTTTATTTAAAAATTTAACATATTATTTATAAAAATAAAATTTTTATTATTTTTTATTTAAAAAATTTAATGATGTTTCAGTATCCTGAAAATATTTTCGATATTAAAATCATTTGATGTTCCCATATATTTGCCTGGCCAGGGGAAATGTATTTCTTTCATCAAATAGATTGAAATATGATATTCTATTATTATTATTTTTTTTTTTTTTTTTTTTTATTAAATTATTATTGATTATTTAAAAGTTCAAGCTAGAAAAAGAATTTAAAATGTCATCTAACCTAGGTTATGATGATGATGCTGATACTGATGATGATGCTCCTGATGATGCTGATGAGCGCAAACAATGATGATGCTGATGCTGGCGCTGACGCTGATAATGATGATGATGATGATGATGATGATTCTGATGCTTATGCTGTAGATTCTGATGACGATGATGCTGATGATGCCAATGATGGTGGTGCTGATGACGATGATGCTGATACTGATGATGATGCTCCTGATGATAATGATAATGATGATGCTGCTTCTGATGCTGACGCTTCTCCTGATGCGGGTCAAACAATGATGATGCTGCTGCTTCTGATGGTGATGGTGATGATGATGATTCTGATACTGAAGAAGGTGATGATGATGCTGATGATGACAAAGACAATGATGATAATGATGACGATGATGAGGGTGCATACAATGCTTTTGATAATGATGAGGGGGCAGACAATGTTTTTGATAGTGATGATGCTGATGCTGATGAATTAAAAACATCCAATGGTTGTAAATTGTGATGGATTGGCGAAATTGAATTTAATTGATCTATATTTGATTTTAATGGTGTTGAAATATTTAATTGATTTCCTTTTTAAAATAAAAATAAAGATAAAAAGTTAATAATTTGGTGATTATTTATTTAAATATAAAATTCTTTTAATTTATTACTTACTTTGCAAAATTAAAATCCTAGTAAAAGAATAAGAGAATATACATGAAGCAGCCAAAAATACTAAATAAATTGAAATGTATTTTTTTAATTTCATATCAACATAATGTGATCTAAACTTTATATAATCTGAATAATATAAATTTTGCCAAATACCATATAAATATCTGCATAAACGAAAAACAAAAAAGACAAAAGCTACTATATAATATCCCATTTTTTTTTTATTATTTTAAATTATTTATTTATTGTGGTGTATAAATAAATAAATAAAATAAAGTTTATGTGATGAATTTTTTTTTAATGTACAGGGTTATTTAATAAAAATAAAAGAAACTATTTACAAAAAAACAAACAATAAAATTTGATTATTTACAAAAAAAAAAATGCAATGAAAAATATGAAAAAATATAAAAAAGTGAGTAAAAAATAATTAAAAAATAAAATTTGTATTTATTTTTATTACATATTATATATATATATTTATAATTACCTGTTTGTTTGTTCACTTGACTATTATAATAAAAAAAATAAATGAATAGAATTATTTGTATATTGATAAAACGAAAATGAAAAAAAAAAAAAAAATTTCCCCCACACACCACAAAAAAAAAAAATTTTTAATAAAAAAAAAAAAAAATTAAATTTAATTAAAAAAAAATAAAATTTAAAACACTCAAAGGAATAAGAGATTGCCAACATCATTATTAAAAATTATAATAATAATAATTTTTAACTTATTTAGCCACTCAAAATTTTATAATAATAGTTTTTATAATTTTATTTTTCATTTTAAGGAAAGTATAATAACCATATATGTATTATTTTATTTTAATTGTTATTCCTTTAGAAACAATCATTACTCAATTTAAATATACTAATAATGGTTGATATTTTTTATTTAATTATCAAAAATTAATAAATAAATAAAAAATTAAAACATATGAAGAAGAACTATTTAATAAACCCCAATGCATAATCAAAAGGAACAATCAATGTAATTATTTAGATATGGAGATAAGAAATTATTAATAAAATCGTTTCATTCAATGTTTCAATTATTGAAATCGATGAAATTAAAAAAAGGTTACCTGCATCCTGGAAACAATCACATCTTTATCAACCTTCATTTCTGTATCCATACATTTTAATTCAGATATCAAACATTGGGTTTTTGTTTATTCTTTTTAATTATGGTTTTTAAATTCGCATATGTAAATTCAAATGATCCATCTACTATTTAACCGACTTCACCCACGCCAATAGAAGCAATCAAAATATTTCATTAAAATAGAAATAAAATTAGAAAATAAAAGTTATTTAAAATATTTAATAAATGTTTAATCTAAAATTATAAAGCTAACTCTTTATGAAATAGAAAAATGAAATCTGAGTTGATAATACTTAAATTGAACTAAATATACTTATTTTAAATGAAAAAATAATTTAAATTAATTTTTAAATTTTAATTTATAATATTTTTTTTTTTCATTCTAAAAACCTTCTTTCCTTTGATGATCTGCTATCTGATTAACCTTTTGAAGATTCCTCTGATGCGTCTGAAGAGTCTTTCCAGTCTGAAGAGTTACCTGCTATTATACCTGTTGATATGCTGGTTGATCCGCTTGTTGATGTGCCACCTGTACCACGTGTGCCACTTTCACCACCCGCAGTAGAACCACCTGTAGCAGCACAACCTGCAGCAGCACCTGCATCGATGGTCTTGAAAAATGTGAGGCGTTTTATTAATTATATGATAATAACTCGAATTTGGTGATGCTTGGGTGTGACTGTTATTTCTTAATGAGGACTACCTTTGGTTTGGAACTATATCGATTTTTAACTGTTAATTTTATAAAATGTATTAATATTAGCTTTCTTAAAGGCTTCTAATAACTGAGGACTGATTATCGATTTATTGAGTTTATATTTTTATTATTTTTTATATAGATGACTAAAATTGTAGTATTTAAATATTGTGTTCTATTATTAAATTTATTTAATTTGATATTTAAATATATATTTGATTGTTTTTTTGAATTATTTGATTGATTGTATAAAATCCTGTTTTGATGATGCTTCAGTATTTCGGGTAGGTCATATTCTAATATTCACTTTAGACACCATCTACATTATTAAATTGTGGTTGTTAGCTTGATTTATTCTTTATCTTGCATATTTTGATTTAATTAAAGATATGAGAATAAGTTGCAATCTGCATAGGTTTTAATTTACATTTCTACAATAAATAAATAACCTCTATATACTTGAACAGTTCTAATACTTGGCAATTCTGATTATAAGTTTGCAATAATAAAGTTGAAAAAATGGTGGGAGATGCCAGTAGAAGGATGAAGCATAATACTATATGAGAATTTGAGTTTCTGACTTTGTGACTTTTTATGATAGTTATTGATATTAATTTGAGATTATTATTATTATTATTATTATTATTATTATTATTATTATTATTATTATTATTATTATTATTATTATTATTATTATTAGAGCAATAGTTCATGATTGGATTGGTGTTTATTATTATTACTTGTAAATAGTATAAAATCTCTTTTAATAGGTTCGCTGTGCATTTGATAAACATATGCTAAATATTTATATTATTGATTAAAAACCTTTCATTCATGATATCGACGACAGCAGATCCTATTCAGGGGTATTGAATGGTTTTAATTGGTAAATATACCTTTTGAATATTAATAAAAGTTAATTTAATTTATGTTTGTGGATCTGCTTCTATTTTTTCAACGATGCTAATTTCTTTGTGTGTGGGTTTGTTGTTATTGTTGTTGTTGTATTAAAATAATGTATTGATTTCTAAATTGTTCTATAAAGGTTTTAAACATATTTCGCTAATGTTAAAATTATTATTTTTGGTTTGATGTGCTATATTTTACATTATTAAAATTATTTGTGTGGGTGTGTGTGTTTGTTGTGTGTTGAAAAAAATAAAAATAAAAATAAATAAAAAAATTGGGAAAAATTTAAAATTTTTTTTTTAAAATTATATGAATTTTAATAATAAATATGGCGGTAATGTGGGTTTTCAAAAATCTGTGATCACTTATTATCCTATAAAAAGATGCCCCATAATTTTACAACACATTTTTAAATCTACATATTTTTATTTTTTACTCAAGTAATATTTTTAATAAATTTTTTGTATAAAATAAAAAAAAATTAATCATAATAAATATAATAATAAATATAATAATAAATAAATGAAATAGTAAATAAATAGTAAACAAAATAATAATTAATTATTTATTTATGTCAAAGTATACCTAATCAATGGCCCGTAAGGGAACAGGGGTGTGACATTCACATAGTGTTTGGCATCGTGGTAATCCTCCGTTTTTTAAACCATATTTCTTTAATATATGGATATATGCCCGGGCTTTATCAAATCATATATTATTGAATGTGGACCTCTTTAAAAAACTGACAGGTGAATGGTATAGATATTAATTAAAATTATTATTTTGAACTATTTATTTATTTATTCATATAATAATAAACAAAAATAAAACAAATAACTGTTAAAATTTTTTATCAAATACTGTAATTTTATAATATTTTTTTATTTATTTCATAAAATTAATACCTTTTTTGCAAAAAAAAAATAATAATTTATAAAAAAAAAATATTATAGGTTATCAATATTTCAAAGATTATTAAAGAATTAGATTCAAGAAAAAGAGCTAAATAAAATGTTCACCATGCATAGTTCCCTTATCAAAACTAAATAATGTGTTCTTTATCAAGAAGATTCAAGGTAGCAAGTATGAAGATTCAAGAAAATGAAGAATCAAGGCTGGTTTGGTATATTGATGGTATAGGTACCAGGCCCTCTTGGTATCTGTATTCTGAGATTATCAAACCAAGGGCTAATTATTATACTGTGCGTGGCGGTATAATAGTTAGCTGTCGGCTCAAATATACTAACCTCCCCGTGGTTGAGCTGGAAACACTCTTTACAAAGAGTGGCTAATAGTATAGAAAAAAAAAAAAAAATAAAATTAAATAATGGTATTTGTTTCATTTTATTAACTTTAAAAATTAATTATAAAATCTACTGACACATAATTTTTTTTTATTATTTAAATTTTTAATTTATTTTTTTTCTTTATTGATATTTTTTTTTAATCAAATTTTATCAGATATTAAAAAAATATCAAATTTAATTATGGATAAAATTTTAAAAAAAAATTAAATTTTAAAATAAAAAAAAAAAAATTAAATTTTTTTTTATTTTTTTCATTTTCAATTATTTTATTTATAAGATTTATTTATAACCAAATACTATTTTTGTCTTGTATTAAAATGATAGAACAAACACCAGTATGCAAAAACTATTCATCAAAACCCATGACCCATTTCAATACCCAACATTCACACAGCAGCCTCAACCGCAATAAACCAATTCTACTTTAATTCAATTAAATTTTAACATAAGATCGTTGGGCTGCTATAAGGTAAAAAGAAAACTAAGGAATTAATTAGAAATAAATAAAA